CGGGGCGGAGGCCGCGCCTGCCGCCGCCCGACGAGCTGTTCCGGAAGGTGTCGCAGCCGCCCGCCTTCCTCAGCAACCCGCTGCAGCGCCACATCGACTGGGACCGCCGCGTGCTGCGCGCGCCCGAGGAGGTGCGGGGCCGGGGCGGGGGAAAGCTCTGGGCAGGCCCGGCCGCCTCCCCTCGCAGCCCCCTCCTGACGGAGGAAATGGCGCCCCCTGGGCCTGTGCTGCCCCCGCCTCCTGCCCCCTGTGTCTGCTGCTTCCCGAGCCTCCCTCGGGCAGTGCCGGTGCTGGCGGAGGCAGCCGGCCGCAGGGGCTTGTCCCGGACCCGGCCCCGGGGCGGCGGGTACGGCCTGTACCCAGGACCTCTCCAGCATGTATTGGCAGCGCTTCATAGAAGCAGGACTGGGCTGCTGCGGTTCCCCTTGCCTGACCTGTCTGGGCGTTGGGTCGGTGTTGTGGGGTGACAGTAGTGGTACATGGAGCTCAGGTGATGAGCTGGACAGGGCTGGGGACCTCTGGAGGGGACGTCCCTTCCAGGCCTGCTTCTCCGGTTTTGTGGCCCAGTAAATGGCGTCTTGTGTTCACTTCGGCAGCCTCCTAAGGAGTTCAAGGTGTGGAAGACCAACGCGGTGCCCCCACCCGAGACCTACAGCATCACCGAAAAGAAGGCGCCTCCCCCTCCTGAGCTGGATATGGCAATAAAGTGGTCTAATATTTATGAGGACAATGGTGACGATGCTCCACAGCAGACCAATAAAGTGAAATTCTTACCAGAAGAGGAACAAGAGCCGGTAGGATCAGGTAATCACATAACCTGGTAAAAGGCCCCAAAACTAGTGGTTCTGTGACTCCTGCGTTCTGCTTTTAAGTTTGAATTTCCACCATTTGCCACCCCCCCACAAGACTGCCCCTAGACCCTATGAAAGGCTGCGTCTAATATATTTAAAATACTAGATTGTTTGTCGAAGGCCTAAGAAGATAAAGAATTGCATGTGAAAGCCCAATAAAAATAATCCTTCTAGTCAACTAAAAGATTATCATGATTTGAATCAGCTTTCTGAATAGCTATTAAGATAAAAATATATCAGGATGGCATAATATCTCTTTTTTCCTAAGCAATCTTATGCTAATCTGTACACTTTTTCATAGTACAACACCCAGGATTTTAACTGTGTTGATTGCTTCTCCATGGCTGGGTGGAGGTTTCGGTGATGTTCTGCTCAGATTCTGTACCAAAATCCTGAAGCTTCCCTTGTATTAGATTTAATGTTTTTATCATATTAAGCTTTATTATTCAGACTGCAGTTTTATCATGGGGAAGATAAGACAACAATCATAATAATATACTAGATTATTTAGAGGACTGTAAAGGAGTTGGATGCTTGTACAGTTGCCTGCAGAGTTAGGGACCAAAATTTCATAGATTGGGACTTGAAACCATTGGTGGCCAAAGAATTCAAGAGAGTCCATTAAAAATCTGCTGCTCTAACACATCATTAATGTGGCTCACTACTTCTCTCTACATCACCGATTAAGGGTGGTCTGCCTTACATTGCTATTTTCTCCTTGTGTTGTCATGTTATAACATGGCCGTGCTTTCCACAGTCACATCAGGATGTGTGGATCTGCATAGTAACAGCATTTCTTTTGAAAAGCAAGATACATTAAAGGTGGTGTAGACAAGTAGGCTCTGCTACAGAAATCTTTGAGCAAGGGCTCTGGTGGGCTGTTTTTCCTCCCCTTGTACCAGTTTCTTTAGAGCAGTCATATCTGGTTGCCTCACTACTTCCCTCTCTAAAATCATGCTGGCTGAGGAGTATTTGCAAGGGTAGATGGATGGCGTTGCCTCCATATACAGCCTGTCTCTTTGGGCCTGAACTGAGGCTGCCAAAAAGGCACTTGTATTCCTGATACCACTAGCAGGACTAGGAAATGACAACAGATGCTGGAGAACTTTTATTTTCATATTTGATCTGTAATCCTTTTCTGTTCATCTTAAAGTTTGGATTGAGGGTTTATACTGTCAAGACTTTAAAAAACAAAACAAAGCAGTAAGAGTGTACTCTTCCACCCAAATGTCTTGGTGGTGTAAGCTCTGATGGCTAGGGCTGTAAGAATTCAGAAAACAGAGTGGAGCAGGGGTTGGTTGGAGTATTTTAAATTTGGCTGAATATAAGCATATTTGCCTCTTGCATGAAAATAAAGATAGCTTATGACAAACTGTAGAGAGTGGTGCTAAGACTAGAAAATGATTCTTTTGAAATGGCTCTGATAGAATTTCAGGTATCTGTGGAGCATTTTAGGTTTTCTCACTGAGACCTTTGACAAAGGGAACATCATCTAGAGATATTGCTAGACTGCTTACTTCAGTCTGTTGCTCTGGATATTAGCTCCCACATACTGATGGCTCTTTTTGTTTCTACACTTACTCCACTCTTTGCCCCACCTGACCTTCATGTCTCCCTCCTTCTTTCTCTTCCTCCTACCTTGGCCTCCTTCATCCCTCCTGATAAATCCCCAGTCAAAAATTTAAAAAAGTGAAATGAACTGAATGCCACTTAGAAATGATCATTCTGCTTGTCTGTTTCCATTTCTCCCCTTTGTCTATTTAAAATAGGAGCTTCTTGGAGCAGATACTCTCTTCAGTGTCTAGCAAAATGGGATCCTATTTTGATTTGACCCCTAGGCACTCTGATAATACAAAGAATATGTTTGTATGACTTCTTTGTGTCTTTGATAACATCCTCATTCTTGGAATGTACTAAATGCTCCTTTATTTTGGCAGCCTCCAAATATGGTAAAATATGGCTTTTTGGCAGGAGGATAAGGATATATGACCAAAGATATTGAACTTGGCAGCTTGAGTTTGCATATTGTGCCTGCATTGATTAATGCTGTCTTTTATTTAAAGATGATGAAAAGGATGAACCAGCTTCTGCTAAAAAACGCAAACTAGACACTGGGGAGCAGACAAAAAAGAGGAAGTAGTAAACGGGACTTAACTGCATTTGGCCCTAATGAAAATTTCTGTGAACTTTGATGCCACTACTGGAATGGGAGACAAATGTTCTTTCACTCACTTTCTATCACCTGCTATTTAAGGAATTTTTATTTCTGTAAAATGTTTGTCATTTGAAAAGCACAAAGAGTTAATGGATCAGTGTTGTGATAGAAACTTGCATCCTCTGAACGAAAATTAAGTCCACTTATTTAAAACAGAGTCTCTTAAGGTATTGTGATGAATACTTGTGCTCGTGCAAGGTAGGGCTTTGCAGTATTCTATTTATCAAGAAACATGCTGACTTTTGGTGTAAATTTTTCTTGACTGATCTTCCATTGTGTTAAAACCTTTTATAAAGGAACGTATCTTTAAAATGTTTTAAGTAATGTATTGTGATACATATTTGAACTATGCTGTTTTAAAATGTATGTAAAGAGTATATATAGATGAGTGAAATAAAACTACATTTGAAAACTTGTGGTATACAATGCAATAGTTATGCCTAATGAGCTCAAGGGACACATTCTGTGCTGTGTGCCTTTCAGTAGTATGTTATAGAGCAGGGGTTGTCAACCAGGGGCATGCATACCCCCAGAGGTACTTGAAAAGGCCCTAGGGGGTACATGCGGGCAGGGATGGACCACCACCACGCACAATCCCATTCTGCCACGCAGGTGCTGCCCACCTAGCCCGGGGGGTAGGAAGCTTGCACACAGCAGCTACCACTCCACATTCAGCCACGCGCCCCCCTGCCCCCACTGCATCCGGTCACGTACCAGCCCCTCCCCTTACCCCACCCCGCTTTGCGTCCAGCCGTGCACCCGCTACTCCCCTCTGTTGCTCTCCGGCCGGCCAGGCGGTGCCTGTGCCACGTCCGGCAACCAGGGGTACGCTGCTTGGCATTTGGCTGCCAGGGCTATACTGATCCAAAAAGGTTGAAAACCCCTATTATAGAGATTTGATAGATGCCTCGAGGTTTAATGTGTAATAAACAGATGTACTGTTTCCTTCAGGACCATGGCCTTCAAAAGATTTAAACAGTGAAATTTAGTGTTTGAAACTCAGGCCTTTTGCCTGAGCCAGTGCCTTATGAGCGTAATTAATACATCAGGAAATTTTTCAGTATTACTGAATGGAGACGTTGCATTTTTTTTTTTTAATCAAAATAGAAAACAAGATGGTGAAATGCAAACGTACAGATATTGTCACCCACTTTCCTTTACTTGTAATCACTGTTGCTAATAACATCCACATCAGCATAAACACTTTTGGCAAAGTCAGATGAATATATTATCACACCCTGGGAAGTTTGGCAGTATGCAGGCAATCTTGGCCTCTGTTTCAGAAAGCAGAATTGAGTTCAACAGCCTGCAGAGGTTATTTCATGTGGTTGGGAATCTATGGGACATCAACCCAGATCTTGCAATCAGGAGTCAGTGAGGCCTGTTCAGGTATAGCTAAAGGATTTGTTTTGTTGTTTAAAAAATTCCAGCAAAAAAAGTGTTTTTTCTTTCCCTTACAGCCTCCCATCTTTATAGCAGAAAAGCTTCTGTGCTGTTACAAGCCTATGATTTATTTAAAAAAAGCTACTGTCAGCCATTTACATTTTTAGTTTCGTCATCTTATTTTGGTTAATTTTAAGGTGTTAGGATAAAAATTTAAAATTATTTGTGCATAGAGAAATTCATTAATGTGAAAATGTGATTTTTTTTTTTTCATCCTTTATCTTCAATGTGAGACTTAGGGATTTTAATCATATTTTTTGTATTATTAAGAAATATGTGAAAATACAAAGCAACTCTTTACATGGAATCTATCAGCTCCAGAGCTGTGATAATTGTAACTATGTCGTTTGTATTGTTCTAATAGCTCTTGGTCCTCCTGCAACTGCAGTCTACCAGCTTTCCTTCCTGATTTCATGGACTCTGGGCCAGAATCTTTGATGCATTCTGTCAGAACCCATTAATTAGATGCCTATAGCCCAGAGGAGAATTGGTGTAGCCCAGAGGAGAAATGACATAGCACAGAGGAAAATTCCATGGGTTCGATACATATGGCATAGTTTTGCTGTCAATCATTCTGGTGGCAGTAACTAAGTCATGGAGGAAAATTCCGCTATGCCTGAACCCAGTAACCAAATGCCCGCCACTCATATGCAAATTCACATTATTATTGGCCAGTTTTAAATTATTCCTACGTGGCGACTAGTGATTGGCTTGCTAGCCGTATAAGAGGTTGAAGCAGTTTCCGCCCAAGTTGGAGGACTCCACATACATCTTGTGGAGAGCTCTGAGCACGCTGTGGAGCCTAGCAAACTCCACGCGTGTCTTAGAGAAGAACTTAGGGGCCTGATCAACCTCTAATCACTCCCCGTCACCGACCCAGGGGGCCTAGCACACCCCCACCAGAGACGTAAGACGACTGCCAGCCCGAACACCCCGAACACTTCTGCAGACCGACCAAACAAACTTTGTCATTTCTCCCCGACCCAAGTTTTGTTTACAACCGTAATCGAAGCAAGCTTCTGGCCTGCACTGTACGAGCAGTGTAAGTAAACAACCTTTTTGTTCAATCAAAACGCGTCAGTACCTGATTCCACTCCAAGCGTCACAAGTACCCACCCGCCGACTAGGGCTCCTAAGGCCCCGAACCCCGTGCCGCGGCTCTTGGCGGCGACACATTCTAGACCTTTCTGCCATTGTGACAGTTCAAAGGAGCCAGAAGGTAATCAGAGCAGTGGTGCTCAACTTTCTGGCCTCGTAGGTTGGTATGTAGTTAGTCCGTGGGTGCCATCTGGCATGCCAGCACAACCCCATGTGCTGGATCTGGCCTTGACACAACCCCGTGTGCCAACATGATCTGGTGCATGGGATGGTGTCATCCAACCTGCAGTGTCCTTACATCCCCGTGGGCTAGAGGTTAAGCAGCACTGTAGTAGAGCATTCCTCGTGCATTGAGGAGCTTTCTGCTGTCACAGACCCAAGGTAATATGTCCCCCCCAAATCCGGCTTTGAGAGGAGAGGAGGTTCTAGCCAAAGTGCACTGAGGTTGGTTGCTGCAGCTGTCATGGTGTGGGCAAGACTATTTTCAATGGGGATCCCTTAAAACCATTTTCAGAATTAGGGAAATACAGTGAGAGTGGGTTCTTCTTCCAGTTGAGCCTTTTTTTGTCTTTCACCAACATTCAGCCTAGCTGAGATGAAGAGCAGCCAGCTCTTGTTTTCTAGCACATAGATATACAGTCTAGTAAGTGTGAAATAATGCTTTTAGTTAGAAATATGAGAGTTATCTTGGTCATATTTGAATTTGTGTAGTGTGGAATTACCATCAGCTGTGGTAATGAGATGGGATAGAATTTCAGCTTCATATTTAATTTATAAATTGGTATCTGCAGCAACCTACTGCTTTTGCTAGTCTTTACTACAGTATAATATCACTTTTTTCAGCACAGGTAAGGAGAGATTACTCATGCAAACACCAGTCCAACCTGACTACCTAGGAACAGTTTATGGATCCACTGGTTATATTAAGCATGATCTTTTCTGAGTACCACTCACAAAGAAGGGATAGAATTTGTTTCTGAAGTGTAACTATGAAGCCTGAAGTGGGTGAACAATCAGGCTGAACTGAGCCTTCTCTCTTTCATTTCTGCAGTCCTAGGTTTGCTGGAGTGGCAATTTCTTGCTTCAGAGGATACGTTTTGGAAAATAATGCTCCTTTGTCAGCAAGGAGCCTAAGTATTGGCTGCTATACAGAGAAAACTAGAAAGGGGAAGGTTATAGTGTTCTTGATGATATGACATAATATTTTATTTTAATGCTATTTTGTACCTTTGTGGTCTAGTTAACAAGATGAAAATAACCTTTTCCTGGATGCTAACATCTGGAAAGGAGTTTCTCTGAAATCAACCTTCCTTAGCAGATCTCAGTACATGCAGAGACACTGGAGAAATTCAAGTTGTTCAGACCTTGCGTGAAGTGTTACCTAATGCAGTAGGTTACCTAATGCTTGTGTCTTGTGATAGCTACTGTCTGCTGCTTTCAAGGCCAACTGAGGCAGTTTACA